CGTAATTTTTTTGTTCTTTATTTATATACTTATAAGGCTGGATAAGTGTCCAAAAAACTGTACATCCCGTGCATCGCACGGGCTCTGTACTAGTTATTATTATTATTATTACATTAATCCACTCTTATCTCATTAAGATAAAATATTTCCTTAGACTTTTTTAGGTTAATTAATACAAAAACCATTACATTTTATATTAATATAGTAATAATTATATTTATTATTGTATCATATAATAGTAATTATTAAAATTAATAATATATTTTACATTAAATGATATATGAAAGTTACATAAACATGAACAATTATATTGTAAAAACTTTTTTTTAAGTTATTTGTTTTAAAATTAATATGTGTTTCTATCCGATTAAGCGGTTGTTTTTTAAATAAATTAGTTTGCTTTAATCTCATAGTAAAATTTCTTAAATACCATAGGCAACCTTTAAAATAAGTAATTTTTTTAAGCTAGTTAGTTGGCCATGATCCCTAAAAATTAAAAATATTACATTATTTATTACATTTTATGCTATCAATATAGTGATTCATGTGCAATCAAATTGTTATGTACTATTTATTTTAACCAATAATCAAATTTAAAATGCAATACCATTATCTAACTTATACTTTTAATATGATATGTCATTCTTTGGGGTGGGCAAGAGTCAAGACAAAAGTTCCTCGTTTAGAACATCACGCGATAGGGCTGAGCGAGTGGTCGCTTTTTTAGAACATTTCTTGGGGTGAATAAGTGGTCGAAAAAGTCCATGCCTCCGGACTGAACGACTACTTTGTTTCGAACATTCCTTGGGGTGGCAAATATCAAGACCAAAGTCTCTTGTTTAGAACATCCCACGATATATAAATATAACTTATAGTACTCTATGTTTAAAATATAATACCATTACCTAACTTATAATTTTAATGTTATACGTATACTAATAACTTATAAGACGACATTTGCATTTGTGCAAATGCACTGGGTGGAATACTAATATATATAATTGCTAGCAATCCATTAAATAAAACATCATAAATATTACCTTATTATATCTATGTGACACTTAATTTTCTAAAAACTTATTATGTTCATTAAGACAAAAACTATTACATTTTTTATTAATTGAGTAATAATTATTGTATTATATAGTAGTTATTATTAGATATAATAGTTATATTTGACACTAAATGTCATATGAAGGTAACATAAAAATGATATTGTAAAACTTTTTGTTCTAGTTATTTATTATGAAATCAATATAACATTTTTTATCAAATTGAACGATTGTTTTTTTAATAAATCAATTTGTTGTAATGTCATAGTAAAATTCTTAAAAATTTTGGCCTAGTCTTCTTAGGATTTTTGCAGTCCTTAGCCATATGGTTTAGCTTTCCAGCAGTCGCCGGCAAACTTCCAAACTTTGGCATGCTACTTACCCTTGTTAAGGGGCTTCTTTCTTGCTCGTGTCGTCTTGCTCCAACAAGTTAGCACAAGCCTCCATTATTGGGCCTTTCCTCGAAGACTTACGGTTGTCCTCCTCAATACAAAGACGAAGAATAACCAAATCTTCAAGACTCATGTCCTTCCTCTTATGCTTGAGGTAGTTCTTGAAGTCTTTGCAATCCGACGACAACTTCTCGATCACAGTAGCAACTTGGAACAACTCACTCAAGGTCATTCATTCAGCACAAATATCGTGCAAGATTAGTTGGAACACTTGCACTTGGGACACAACGGTCTTTATGTAAACCATCTTGAAGTCAAGAAACTTGCCGATGACGAACTTCTTCGCCCCCAACATCTTCAGTATTCTATTTCTTCTCTAAGGTAGCCCAAAGCTCCTTGGCAGAACCAATCAAGCTATACACATTGTACAACTTTTTACTCAGTCCGTTAAGGATGTAGTTCTGCAAAGATAATTACCTTGATCCAAGCATCGTACACTGAGCATAGGTCAGCGTTGGATTCGTATCCAGCCACAATCGGGGGGTCGTCTTTCGGTTACTTCACAAAACCCAAGGTGGTTTGGTAGAAGTGCATCTTCTGCTGTCATCTCTTGAAGTCAAGCCCATTGAATATTTCGGGCATTTCAACAGTAGGGACGCGAACAACGGGCACGGGATGATGAACAATGGTGTTGATTGGATGTTGTTGCTATTGAGTTTGAGAACCTTCTCCGGTGGATGCCGTCAGTTCATTAGGTATTCATCTTGCGATTGTTACAAATTTGAGATGATTACACAGGAAAACCTATGAACTGAATAATTTATCTTTCAAATCTTAAAACTTGAATTAAAATAAAAAGCCTAGGCGAGTGTTTCTCCTTTCGCAAGACGAATACGTCCCGTAATGTACTGATGGATTCAGACATCTCGTATCCAAATAAACAATGATTGCGTCTCAGAGTCTGTAGCACTTCAAACTTCTGAGCTCCAGCAAATTCGAACGGAGTCGAAAATAGAGCACCATAGGTTATGATGTCGGTGACTGAACTTCGCTTCGTTTGTACCTTTCAGTCGAGTTATTTGACACCTGAAAAAAACAAGCAAAGCGAAGTGAAAGGAAATGTGGCAATCAATCATTTTTATTTTATTTTTTGTCGCTACCCCTCCCTACGAGGGACTTTTGGTTTAGGTTTTGACCTAAAAAAAGTCCAAATCTCCCAAGGAACGGCTCAGTACCGACTTAGCTCAAGGCTAAAAACTCTGAAAAGCAAGCTTAAGACCCTCAATAACGAATCCTTTTCGTATATTTCATCCCGGGCAAAGGCAACTAAGCAAGCCCTTAAGCTAGCTCAGCCACGACTTTATGACCAGCCCGACGATGCCGGGACCAAGTCAATGCTACCATCTCTTAGGCTCAAAGCACTGAACTTGGCCAAGGCATATAAACTTTTCTACTAGCAAAAGGCCAAATGTGATTTTGGAGATTACAAATGCAAATGATGTTCTTGTAACCTTCTGCAACTCTAGACAGGTCCTATATATAGGACTCCCAACCAACAGGGGATGACCTCTGGTCTTCAGCCACTTAAGGCATGAAACAACCAACTAATGGCTGTTGTATTTAGGCATAAAATGGTCAGGTGGAAATCCTTCCATTTTCAGGTGTTAACATGCCATCAAACCCCTTGATAGCCACTTAAACGGGCAGGTGGAATGTCACATGCCCAGGTTCAGTGAACATAGAGATGTCTCACTCGTGTTTGTTCACAAATCCAAGTCCAAATCCAAATGATTTGAATTTTTTATTGGGCCAATAATAAAATTGCACCAAAAAGATAAATAGTGGTTGGGACCAAGACCCAAACCCAATATCAGCCCAGACCGTCCCAGGCTGCCCAAGTCCAGCCCACAGTACAATTGTCAAGTACTAAGGACCAAAGCCCAAGGCCCTAATCCAGGCCTGAGCTCGAGCTGAGCCGACGGCGGGCGCGCGCACGCGTGTGGTTGAATGAAGCCAACTCTAACATTTAGTGCATAACTTTGTTTGTTGTTGTGACATATCCAATTCCTTTTATTATATAAAAGAGTTACTCTCATTTAGGGTCCATGTGGTAAGGACTCTTCACCCTTCAAGTTCCACAACTATCATTTAACATGTCAATTTATGACTGACTTTAAACATTTATTTCTCACTCACAGAAAATCAATTTTGAGAAAATAAATATAACACGATTATCTACTTCAGAATGTATAATCTTTTTATATAATTTAATTCAACCAGAATTAATATGTATCCATTAAAAATTCAGTCAATATCTGATCAAATCCAAATTCTATAACTGATTTTTTTCAGTTAATTTTATTTATTTATTTATTCATTTTTTTGGTACATTTTTTTTTTTTTTTTTTTT